TTTTAGTATTTACATTATTTTAGTAGGTATTTAGTTAATTAGTTTATTTTTTTACCTAATTGTTTCACATGATGAGCATGGTTCAGACAATCTGGTTGATGATTATCACTTTATCAGCATCTAAGAAAAATGATTCCACAACAGGTTCCACGACATCTGGGTTGGAACTTAAACACGATTTTAGTTGATTATTATATAATATTAAACAAATAATCATCATATTTGATAGTGACATTTTACAAATATGTACCTACTTGGTTTTGTCATGAATTCCTATAATATGCATCACTATAGACACTAGAAATATCAACAGTTTGTTAACTGATAATTTGTTTGATGGATGTAGACGAGTTCGTTTATTAAGTTGATCCATTTTCACGTTAAGAAGTTTAAAAAGTTTAAAACCGTATAGTAAAAATCTAGCAAAAATGTAAGTTATTAGTTTTTACTGACGTTGWCARTTGAAACTGAATGACAATATCTGTGTCCATTTATTTTGATATTTAATGACATAATTTACAATTAAATAATTATTATTTAATTAGATACTTACCAATGACGTGAATGCGATAACTAAATAAAAATATAAAATTAAGCGTACTTATATCAAATATGATTGATGACCTTCGTCCTATATAATATATACTATTTGGTCATATACTCATATATACTAATGTTCTGGCGTTCTGCAGTTATACATTTATCCAAATCATATAAATGGAAACTCGTGTTTCTACAAATTTATATATTAYATCCACAGCATTATTTTACTTGAAAATAGGTTTTTACCTTTCTCTATTATACACAATTGTCTACTATAGTCTTGAATTCAGAAAGGCGTTACAAGTATCATTGATTATAGAATAGACTATTATCCACCTTATAGATATATGCCCTTTTTTTTAGTTACGCCTATGGACTTATTATTGTGAATTAGGCTGTACCTATATACTAGTAGTGTTCAAGAGATAACTACGAAAAAAGTCCAATACGAGTTTTTTAGCGTCATATCCTAGTCGCGACCAGTGGCGTATTTAAGGTTTTTCCGCCTATTGCCTATAGGCACTTTCCAATTCGCCACCTTCCTCCCCCTTCATCATTTTTTCAAAGTTTATTAAGGCTTCAACAACACAGGTTTTTAGCCTACTTTAGTTAAAATTTATACAAGAAAAAGAAAGGAAAAAATATATATATATACATTCAATTTTGGAATGCATTTTACTACATTATTATAGTTATTATTTACAATGGGTATTTAGTGTTTATATTATGGAAAAATGTACTGATTGCAACTGTGTTTTCATCTTTGAAGGCTT